TGCAGGAAGAAGGTTCTTTCTTCCTGTTTGAGGGGCCACTTGTACTGGGTAAGGCTTCAAATCTATCACCTAAGTCAGATCCTGCTGTCACTACCAAGTTCTACAGGCTCCAGCAATTGAATTCTCTGCCTCCATTTCTTCATCTATTAAAAAGAATCTGTAATACCCACATCAGAGGGCTTTTGTGAGGATTTAGAACAGGCCTGGCACCTAGTGGGAGGTCAATAATTGAATGTCATCACGTGAGGAAAATCATTCCCACCCATAGGATTTGCAATATCCTGGGTGACAGGGGATGAGATGGTTGAATGGCATCCCTGATTCCATGGACATGAACTTGGGCAAACTCCAGGAGATGGTGAGGGACAAGGAAACCTGGCGTGCTGCAGTCCATGCGGTCGTGGAGAGTCGGACATGACTTGGCAACTGAACAAGCTGCTATCATAGAAAGTGCAGGTCCTAGTCCAGTAACGCAAGTGGGCAAAGAGTGTACATTTCTTTGCTTTCCTATCATTTAATTTTTATTCTCAGCCTCATTTCACAGGGGGCAGAAATCTAATCCCATTGACTCAGGCTCTGATGCTCCTCTTTTGTCTGGGGTGGTTTTGGGGAAGAGGTGCTTGCAGAATGCCAAGGCAGGTGGGATGGGGAGTCTGGGCACCTGGTCCTTGATCACGATCTAGGCATCTGCTGGGATATCCCCCTCCCATCTGGTCACAGTGGTCCGTAGTGGCAGAGCAGTCACCTCTCATGGTCTCAATTACAGGGACTTTCACATGTGCAGGCACTCAGGGCCACGTCCATATCACTCTCAGGGGTGTAGGAAACCATCTATAGCCCCCAGGCCACAAGATGGCCTGCAGATCTTTGGGCTGCCTCAGGCCCGCCTGCCCCTTCACCAGGGGCCTGAGCACAGGGGACCCTGTGGTGGTGCTGCCGCTTCCGCAGGGTTTGCCCAGAAATCAGGCACAGCTACGTTTATTCTTGAGTCCCTCACTCCACGTTGCACCCCTTCTTGTTCAGATGACCTTGGCCTGCCTGGCATGGTAGCTTTTACCCATCTTCCAAATGTACCATCAGTGCTCCGAGTCCTTCACAGCCTAAAGCCCAAGTTCTCACAACTTCAGAACTTAAACCCTTGACAACAAAATACCTTGCCTCTGTTTTCTTCCTTGTATAATCCCTTCGCAAAGGCAATGCTTATCTCTGACTGAACAGGGAACAGTGAAAGAAGGAGGAAAACAGGATGGGGGAGAAAACTTGGTTGATAATTTAGACTACTTTTTGACCACACTGTTTTTATAATACATGTTGAGAAAGGGGAATCATGTAGGGGAATCTCAGTAGGCTTGAGAATATTTTTGAAGTTCCTGTGATCCGCCCTGTGGTCTGAGCCCTTCCTTCTGGGAGCCCTGGGTTGTGGGGGTGCTCTTTCGCTCAGCCTTCTGGAAGATCCGGCTCTGTTCACAATAAGGCTGGTGACTTCTGCCCAGCCTGCCTCTGCTGTGGCCACTGCCCCCACCCTGCAGAGTGGCGCCCTTGACCTGTTGTCTTTCTCGGTCGCCTCATCAGCACCCCTATTGAGCATGCTCCAGTGTGCACCAGCCAGGCCGCCACCCCACTGCTGCCCGCTTCTGCCCAGTCGCCTGCTGCTGCCTCTCCCAGCACAGCCTCGCCACCCCCGGCCACAGCCGCTGCCCACGCTGCCACCGCCTCTGCCACAGCCCCTGCCTCAAGCCCTGCGGACAGTCCAAGGTAACTGGCCCACAGGTGCCGGCTCTGCCCGTGGGGAAGAGAGGCAGGAAAGGCCTCCCCTGGGTCCGCCTGTCGGCAGCTGTGTTGGGCCCTCGGAAAGGCCCGTCGAAAGTGGTTAGGACCCTTGGATCCTGGGCTGAAGGGGATACTGGAGGTGCATTTCAGGGAGATGCACTGTGTGTGTGGCCGAGGACAGAGGCTGGACGTGTCACCCTGCCCCAGGGGCACATGCTCTAGGGAAAGAGGTAAAAGTCTCTCTCTCTCTCACTCACACACACACACACACACATACACGTAAGGTTAAATAACAGAGAGAGACTGTGTGGAAAATCCATGTTCCTGGAATTGGGATTACAGAGAAAGAAAGGAAATCAAGGAAGCCTCTGTGGAGGAGGGAGCGTTGACCTGAGCACTGAAGGTGGGTCAGACTATTTACAAACTACCTCGCCCTTGTCCCTTACCCTCTGTTCTCTTGATGGAGAAGCACCCTAGCTCCAGAGACACCTGGTGCAGTGGGACTCACATCTCTGCTCTACCACTTGCTGTCTGTAACCTTCTGAAAGTGACTCAACTCTGCAGAACCTTAGGTTCCTCATCTCCTAAGGCATTAATGCACAATGCATTAATGCATAATGCCCATAATTTTATAGGGTCAGGATAGAAAAAGTGTACATAAAACACCCAGCACATAAAATGCTCTCAAGTATTGCAAGTTACTGCATTCCTGTCTGCCCTCATGGATACTCAGCAAAGGCAGGGGAAGGGAGGTGTTGAAAAGGATGAGGGGAGGTGTCAGGAGGCAGAGGGGGAAGGCTGGACAGGTCATTCTGGAGCGGCCAGGCAGTGTAACAGGCCAGGCAGGTCCAGCTCTTTCTGGGCTGTGTGGAGCTGCCAAGTTGGTGTTTGGGGTCAGAGCCAGCTTTCCCAGTCTCCACACTCCCCTCCCAGGGTTTTGCTGAAAAGGACACCTTTTCAGCAGGTCAGGGTATGCATGGTTCCCTGTTGCAACCTGAAGCCAGGATGAAGGTTAGGCAGAGTGGCCTGTGTGCCCAGCTTCTGCCATCTGGCTTCACAGTGACCCAGGTAATGCTGAGCCCAGCCTTTCCCCAACCCAACTCAAGTATCAAGGGTGAGCCTAGCCCAGGCTTCCAGGGTCCACATATCGCAGCTTCCTGGGGGCACTTAGCAAGCTGCTTCCCTTCTGCACGCCAGAGTCTCTTTAAGTAACGGTCTTGCTCCCTGCACAAAGAATAAACTTTGAGGGAGATAAGAAAGGTCCCTACTGTCTAGTGAGAAGATGCCATCCCAGTTTGAGGGGAAGACTTTAGATGCCTGAGTCCCATGGACAGTCTAGCCCCAGCCCTGCTCAAAGGCAGGCTCCAGCACCACGTTCCAGGCCTCCTTGTCTGGGGGGCCTCGGGACCCCCTCGACAGAGCAAACCCTCCCTCCACTTTGCCTTACAAAGAGATGTGAAGCCTGGGTGGAGAGTGGAAAAAGCCATGGAGAGCTGCCAGCATCAGGCTAGAGCAGAGGGGGCCAGGGAACCTCACTCTGGGCCCAACTATCTGCCCTGCTTGTTACATGGGCTGGAGTGGTGCTAGAGGGAGCCAGTGGGAGACAAATGGACACCCAACATAGCCTCAGAATTCTTGCTGGATATCTTAAGCCTCTGCTTGCTCCCCCAGCACCAATCTCTGACAGATTACCTGTGGCTCCTGGGGTGCTAGGAAAGCATCCTCCACTAGTGGGAGAGTCTGACTAAGACCAGCTGACCCTTAGTCGTCTTCTACCACAGTGGAAGCTGGGCACCATTTGGACATGGCGTTTTCCTCTTCCACTAAGGTTCCTACTCCATGGGTCTTAACAGGGATATATCAGAGAAGGCCACGCCCAGAGAGGGGAGACAGTGTTCTCACTCAACCAGAAACATGACAACTTGGCAGGACAGGCCCCCAGGTCCAGCACATTGGCTCTCTGAGACGCATTCTAACTAATTGTCTGGGGCAGCACCCGGACCCTTCTGGATCCATTCAGGAACTTGGTGGTAAATTCTAAGCTCAGGGCAACCCCCTCACAGAGCCCCAGAGAGGATGGTACTCCTTTATCCTATGACTCTGCCAGCAGAGATGGGCAGGCCCTGGGCCCATAAGGGGGAAGGAAGACAGGAAGCAGGAGGCAGTATATTTCCAGGGGCTCATTTCTCCACACCCCTGTCAATGTCCCATTTTCCCTGGGTGTGGGTCATGTCATCCCCATTCGTGCATGAAAGATGCAGAGATTTTCTGCATCTTTCAGACATGTTCTGTAAGGTGTTTGTTAAGTTTGTTTGTTTTTCTGCCCCCGCCCCCCCCCCCTTTTTTTCTTTTTCTTTTCTGTTAAGTTTTAAAATGAAGAAAAGATGAGGGATTTCACAGGCAAATGGAACTGGGAAACATTGAATCAGACAACACTGAACAGGCTGCTTAGCTGCAGGAGCTCTTGGAGTCTTTAGTTCTCTAAGAGGAGAGGCCAAGCACAGCATCTCCTGAGGAGATACATTACTTTTTTCCATCTCTTTGGTCCCAGGGTCCCTGGGTCATAAGTGGGAAAAGGCCTGCTTTGGGCCTCTTGGCAGCTAATGCAGTGGGAGGAGGGCAACAGGAATTCTATACAGAAGAGCCTCTGTGTATGTTGGGGGTTGGGGGGTTCTCCTGACCTCCCCTCCCTGGAGCATTCTTACCCAGAAACCTGAGACTTTGCTGCTCCCTCCACAACAATAGAAAGGGAGGAGGAGGAAGCCAGGTGGTCTGAGGCTGTGAGGTGCCCCCAAAGGTTGGGAAGTAGCTTTGACTGTCTCCATCTTTTCTCTTTCCTGCCTCTACCTCCTTCCCCGTCCCATCTTCCCACCCCCATCCCTCCATCCCTCCACAAGGGGTGAAGGGTCTCCCATCATCCTCTTGTCTGACTGGTACCTCTCCTCCCTCTGCTAAGGTGGTAGCACCAGCAGCAGGCTGTAATTTTCACAGTGTCTCTGCTGCTCTCACCAGACTCACCAAGACTTAGCACCCAAAGAGCAGCTCTCTCCCCCTAAGACCTCCTGGTCTTTTCTTCACAGCCTCCAGCAGCTCCCCAGGCACATCTTTGTCAGGTTTCCTCCTTACAGAGCCTCTTCAAAGATCAGGGAGCCAGACTGCCATGGCTGTAGGCTCCAGGGCCTGGGAGGGGTTGTCCTTCTGGCTGCTAACTTTTCCCCACTTGGTTCCAGGCCCCAGGCCTCTGCCTACAGTCCCGCTGTGGCCACCTCTCCAGCACCTGCTGCCCATACATACAGCGAGGCCCCAGCTGCCCCTGCACCCAAGCCCCGGGTTGTCACCACTGCCAGCATCCGACCTTCTGTCTACCAGCCAGGTGAGAGGCAGATTGGGAAGGGAGGCTGTCTAGCCTGGGCATGGGCTCCAGGGGTCAGCTCTAAAGCCACATCCCCCAGAAGGATGGTAGTTAATGACATTCATCCTTCCTTCTTCCAATTATGGGCCAGAATCCTACGGAAGTTGTCTCTGGCACTGCAGAGACAGATGGGCAGTGTCAGGCAGTGATGGAACCTCCTGGACCTCAAGGCATTTCCTGCCTGGGGAGTTGCAGGCTCCAAGTGAGCAAGAGAGGGTTTGGGGGGAGGGTCTTGTTCCTCCAGAAGTCTGGGTCTGATTCAAGCCAGTGGATGCGGAGCTATAACAAAAATACCACAGGCTTTGGACAGACCTACTGCATAATGTGATGCTGGGCAAGCTGCTCACCTGTCTGGTCTTTGGTTTCTTCAGCTGGGATAGGGTAACTAGAGGCATGGAAAGCACATGTGACAGGCAGGAGAGGGACCCACACGGGGTCTGCCAATGGCTGGTTTCACTGGTTGTCTCATCTATTGCTTTGGTCCCCATTCTCGTCACTGCAGAGCCAAGGGCTCAGCCTATGTCCTCCCTTTTCCTAGGCAAAGTTGGGCCGCTCCCCAGAGCTCCAGGGCAGTTCTCAGGCTAGCTTAGGTATCTCCACCGGCATGCCCCTCCGGCATGTTCAGTGAACTTAAGGGAAGATGAGACAGGAGGAGCCTTGCTTGGGGCGTTAACCTGACGTGTAGGGCAGAGGAGCCATGAACAGCCATCTGTTTCATAAAACATACTCTGACAGCAGGGTCGAGTGTGGGTGGTAGAAGTGGCTTTAGCATCAGACTCCGTTGCCAGGTCCTGCTCGGCTATCCAAGGTAAAGTACTTCATCTCCCAGGCCTGTATTTCCTCGTTTAAAAAATAGGCATATTATGTACACCTGATGCTCTGGGTATGAGAATGAAGCCCCCAGGACAGTGCTTGGTACACAGGAGGTGCCCTGCGCTGTCTCTTCAGAAGGGAGGACACAAGAGTTCTGAGGTTAAAAGTCCACACTATTAGGGAGCAATTTGCATCCGGCTGTGAGGGTAAAAAATCTCGGATGGTGCTGGAGGAAGTAGTTGCTTTGCAGCGACGGGGAGCACAGGAGGGAGGGTGATAAGGAGTTTGGAGGAGCAGCTGCGAAAGGAGGTGAGGCTCTATCGAGGCGCAGGGTGGCTATTTCCGCCCTGGCCCGGGCTGCCCTCCCAGGTGGGTCCTTAAGGGCATCTTCCGGGGCGGGCCCTGGGCTTCGGCGCCCCCTCCCGGGCCGCCGGCTCTCTTCTGCAGGCCCGCCAGGGGGCGGCACGGCTTCATTGGCGTGCGCCGCCTGCCTCTTCGGGTGCCCCCCCTCCTCCTTCCGGGACTGGAGCTCGGGCGGGCGAGACCGGCCGGAGCCCCGGAGCTGCGGGCCTCTGCCGCGTTCCCAGGCCGAGCAGACGTTAACTCATTCCTGCCCGGGGGGGAAGGAAGCAGCCAGGCGGGCTCGCGCCGGAGCCGGCCTGCCTCCCCCCCTTCTCCTGAGGGGGAAGTCCCCGGGAGGCTGGCAGGCGGCCCGGGGAGATACGGGGAACATGGGCCCGGGGCCTCTCCCCATCTCGTCTCTGCCGACCCCGGCCCCGGGGAGGACGGAGAGCCTGTAGGCAGCCCAAGCCGCAGCTCCTCACGAAGGCTCCTCCGGGCCGACAGTGGCGTTCGCGATCCGGATCCTATCGCCGGCGCCGGGACTGGGCGGCCGCTCCCTGGAGCACCTGGGGCCCGGGAGGGGACCATGGGCTGAGGGGCCCCCACACGGGCCCGGGGAAGCCACGTCGGCCCGCGGGCCGGGTGGGGGCCAGGCGCTCGGGGGAGCCGGGCCGACCTGGAGTGAGTCAGAAATCACCTTGTTTAATTACACATTCCCGAGCCGCCGAGTGCGATAGGAGCCTTTTGAACTTGCCAATTAGAGATGAAATATCACCTTCTAATTTGGACGGGCTTCATTCCATCAAGCAGAAATAGCAACAGCCTCGGGCTCGGAGATGGGATATCAAGTCTCTCTCCTGGCACGTTGCGGATGGCGGGGGCAGCCAGGCTGAAGGGCGCAGAGGGAAGAGAACTGTGAAGCAGCGGCTCCCTGCGCCCCGATCTTCACCGGGTTCCTGATGGCGGAGGGAAGCTGATGGCCTGCGCCGGCAAGAAGGGAAGGGCCTTAGCTCGTAGCGGGGTGGGGGGTGTCGGGGGACTCTTGGGCAAGGAATCAGCCCACGGTGCCCAGATGCCAGCGTGCCTCTGACCTGCTGTGAGACCTTCGTGTTCTTGGGGTTTAGAAAAAGGGAGTGAATCATGGAACTGGAAGGCCTTCCAGATGAGGGAAGAGAAAGACCGCCCGGCAGAGGCAATAGGGATAGTAATGCTAGAGAGGTTGGAAAAGTGGGCTAGGGCCAGATTTGGAAGGGGCGTGCTAAAGCCTGTTTTTCTGCCTGGGGAGTGGTTAAGCAGGGATCTGGGGTTGAGTCCTGCAGCCTGAGCGCCAGTTTCAGCGCGGTGTTGCATAAGCTCTCCAAGCCTCAATTCCTCTTCTGTAAAACGGACTAGAGACTATTATCTGCCTCATTGGATTGCAGCAAGTATTACATAAAATAATGCACATAAAGGCCCTGGCATGTGAAAGTAGGCAGCACTTGGTAACTGTTGTCCGGATTAGGATGGCACTATCTGGTAACAATACGTTTTCTAGTAGCTACATTTTTTAAAAAGTATATATTCAATTAAAAATAAATTTACAAGAAGTATATGGAAGCAGGTGAAATTAATTTTAATATATTTTATTTAACTCAGTATATTCAAAGTATCACTTTAATCAATATAATCAATCAATATAAAATTATTAGTGGGATATTCTACCTTCTTGTACTAAGTCTTTAAAAATTGGTGTGTATTTTATATTTATAGTATAGTTTGGACTAGCTGCATATCAAGTGCTAGTGGCCACATTAGGACTATGTACTAGTAACACAGTATTAGGATTAGGTCACATCTCCCATCCTCTAAATCCTACAGACTGCCTGGGCTGGGGTCCTTCAGGTGACGTCACGATCAAGCTGTGAGATGAGCTGCCAGTTCATCTGGACCATGAGACCCAGAAGTCACTCACCTCACCATCCTCACTAACATGTAGTGACACATACACAGTGCCCGGTACTAGGCTAAGCCTTTATGGTTCTTATTTCCCTTAATCCTCCTAATAAGGTACTAAGAATTATTATTGCCATTTTTAGACGAGGAAATTCAGGCCTAGAGATGTTAAGGAGCTTGCCCAAGGACACACAGCCAGGATGTAGTAGAATGAGGCCCTGAACACAGGGCTCTTGATGACTGTGCTACATGTATTGCCATACCATGGGGTCTCCTCCAGGTTGATAGGTACTCCTGTCAACATGGTACACCCAAATCTTCTGGAAATCAGACTTGTGTTTTTTTACAGAGGCAGCTTGGGGTGATAGAAAGAATGGTTTTGGAGACTCACTCTACCGCTTACTAGCTCTGTCTGAGCCTCAGTGACCTCAATTGTCAAGAGGACTACCCAGTTCACTTGTTATGTGCCTAGCCTATCCTCTTAGTAAATGGAAAGAAGATTCCTTATGGAGAAAGTTTTACCTTTGGAAGCCAGCCTCACTCCCAGGATGGCTCTAGGGCAGGGCTGTGGAGGGTTTTATCCCTTCTGCTTTCAATAACACAGGCCTGGTCCCTACCCATTCCCAGCAATAGGGTTTCCATGTCACCCAGCTCTGAAGGGCCAGTCATCTGGGAGCAGAAGGTACAGGGTTGGAGCAGCAGGTTAATCCAGGGGAACCAGGTGGGGAGAGACCAGAGGCCAGGCCAGGAACTTTAGCCCTGAGAATGACCTTCCTTTCCAGGCTGGAGCCTGCCTGAGGGCTGTCTTTGCACCTATCAGCATAGGCCATTCACCAGGCCTGATGCAAGGATGGGGAGGGAGGCTGCCCTGACATACTTCCTGGGGTAGAAGGAATAAAGCCTCTTTCCAAGGAGCAAACTGTGAGCTGAAGTGAGGCATCCGGAACCTCCCTGCCTAGGAGTGAAGGCTGGCTAAACCAGGTGTGCCAGGCGCAGCTGGGTCTGCCCCTGCTAGCTTCACAATGAGAGGCAGAACTTAGAATCCTGGGTTTTGAGGCCCAGACCTTGGAGGGCTTTGGGTGAGCAGCTGCTTTGCTCCTTTGTGTTGCTACCCTAAAAGGGTTTTCAGCTCTCAGTGAGCTAGAGGAGGGGGTTCCAGAAGCAGGTCAGGGAATTTTCCTTCTTCACTGGAAGATAACCTCTAACAGACACTCAGACACACTCTCAGTTTCCATCAAAGTGGGGCGGAAGAGCTTGGGTCCCCCAGAGGCAACCACAGGCTAAAGAGGCAGCTAGACCTGGGCCGTGTCACTTCAGCATCTCTGTCTAGCCTTCCTCTGAATGATATCTTCAAGACCCACCACCCCAATTCAAACCAAAATGGACTTTCCCCCATTATACATCAAGCCACGCTTTTAAAAAAACAAACAAACAAAACACGATTGCAACTAAACCTGGAATCTAAACTTGAAAACCTAACTGTCCAGTCATCTGCTTTGTCTCAAAGACTGAACTAGGTCCAGGTTCAGCAAACATATACGATTGAGGCATTTCAGATGTCAAATCACTGGTCAGGGTGCAAACAAAAGCATCTTCCAGTCAAGGCCAAAATGACCCACTCTCACCCTCTCCAGCCCAGGGGATCCAGATACAAGCCTTGCCCGCACCCCCTGCCCCCACTCACTGTCTCCGGCAGGCTCCTGGCAGCCAAGGCCTGGCTGAGCCCCACCCCGCACAGCTGCAGATATTTATAGTTCTATCCCTTCCCAGCCCTGTCCAAGCTCCCCAGGGCTCTGCTCCATGGCTCTTTATCTCCCTTGGCTCCTTGCTGCAAATTCAAATCAAGGCCATGAAGAAGCTCGGGACACATCGCTGTGTAAAAACTGGAATTGTGCCACTCTAATATTAAAGTTGTCTTTTGCAGTTCTCTGGCTGGGGGTGGGGAAAGCTGGGAGAAATGAATTCCTGACACATTTTTCTTTGGATATTTTTGGCTTGCAGTGCCTGCATCTACCTACAGCCCATCTCCGGGGGCCAATTACAGTCCAACCCCCTACACGCCCTCCCCTGCCCCTGCCTACACCCCGTCCCCTACCCCTGCGTACACCCCTTCCCCCGCTCCCACCTATTCCCCCTCCCCAGCACCAGCCTATACCCCCTCGCCAGCCCCAAGCTATAATCCTACACCCTATAGTGGGGGCCCTGCAGAGTCTGCCAGCCGTCCCCCATGGGTGACAGATGACAGCTTCTCTCAGAAGTTTGCCCCTGGCAAGAGCACCACCACTGTCAGCAAGCAGAGTCTGCCCCGAGGGGCCCCTGCCTACACCCCGCCACCACCGGCCCCCCAGGTGTCCCCCCTTGCCAGGGGTACGGTCCAGAGGGCCGAGCGCTTCCCAGCCAGCAGCCGCACTCCGCTCTGTGGCCACTGCAACAGCATCATCCGGTAAGGTCAGATCCCACTGTGCCCCTGTGCTGGGGTCCTGGCAGGGCAAGTGGGACGGGAGGGAGGGAGGCACAGGGAGAAGGCTACATGCAGGGCAGCCTCAGGTCCTTCTTGCTAGCCGTCTCTGGTCTAACCCTCTGTGAGCTTTAGCTTCTGTACCTGTGTGACACCCACTTCCCCAGGGAGTTGGGAGGATGCCATGAGGTAAGTGGGTAAAGCTCCAGTGTGGTGCTTGTGCCAGCACCGCCCCCTTGGGCTAAGGCTGGGTTCTGAGAATTGCAAGTCTGGTTGGCAGGTTTATTAGGCCTGTTGCAAGCTGGCTGACAGTGCCGGTTTTGACCCAGCTTTCCTTTGGGGCTGTTTCTGAGTCTGTTCACAGTCAGGCCTGTGCTGCTCAGGCTTTTGGTGGCCATCTGCCGCACTGAAAGGAAAACAAGTCATTTCATACTTAGAAGCCGAGGATCATGGGTGGTGCTTTTTGAATATAATATGTTTATAGTATGTGCATGTGTGTGGCGGGGAGGGTGAACTTATGTATATGAAAAACATACTTTTATTTAAAAATAAAGTATCATTAGAAAAAGAATATGGGGCTTCCCAAGTGGCTCAGTGGTAAAGACCCACCTGCCAATGCATGAGATGTGGGTTCAATCCCTGGATCAGGAAGATCCCCTGGAGAAGGAAATGGCAGTCCACTCCAGAATTCTTGCTTGGGAAATCCCATGGACAGAGGAGCCTGGCAGGCTACATTCCACTGGATCACAAAAGTGTTAGACACAACTTGGTTGACCAAACAACAACAGAAAGAATATACTCATGAGAGAAGAATTAGAAAATTCAGAAAAGTAAAACTTAAAATATAAAGCATTTCTTTAGTCTCATTGTTCTGACTACTGATGTAGGTAAAGGGTTGTGTCCTGGGTCTACCACAGCAGCCCTATAGTCTTGAACAACTTACTTAACATCTGGACTCAGTTTTCTTATCTAAAAATGGGTATCATGATAGTATCTACTTCATAGAGTTGTGAGAATTAAACACACTAATAACTGCAAATTTCTTCTTGAATGGTGCCTGGCAGAGAGTAAGCACTTAATAAATGTTAGCCATTAGCACCATCATCATGGCTCTTCTTACTACAAGTATTAAACTGAATGGATATCCCATAATACACTTACTGGGCCCCCTAGTAGTGGATGTTTGAGTTGCCTCCCCATTACTCTTTTTTTGTAAGTGATACAGCCTCATCTTTTTTCATGGAGCTTTATCTGAATTTCCTGTTATTTCATTAGAACAGTCACAAAAGTCGGGTTATCAAGGTCAAAGTGTGAATATTGTTGGGAGTTTGAAATACCTGGTCTTAAGTTTTTGGGGCGGCTTAGGAGATACTGTTCTCTGCTTTCCCAGGGGCCCCTTTCTGGTAGCCATGGGCCGTTCCTGGCATCCAGAAGAGTTCAACTGTGCCTACTGCAAGACCTCCCTGGCAGATGTATGCTTTGTGGAGGAGCAGAACAACGTGTACTGTGAGCGGTGTTATGAGCAGTTCTTTGCCCCAGTCTGTGCCAAGTGTAACACCAAAATCATGGGGGTAAGTGGGCAGCGTTCTTCTCCTCGGACCCTTGTCTGTTTTCCAACCAGTCTCTCCTCCTCCCCAATGTTGTGGGGTCCCATTTGGAAGCCAAGCAGTCGCTGTGCTAACAGAGCAAGAACAACTCCATTTCTATCCTAGAAGGGCGTTGGTTTGCCACCAGTGAACTAGGGAACAAATGAACTTGAAATGAGAGATGATTGTATCCCTGGGCCATGTAGCTTGAAGTGCCTTGGGGAGCTTTTGAAAAGCAAATCGCCTCACCATGTACCTCTGTGTGGCTTTGACACTTGATGCCCCTTTGGTAAAATGGCAGTAATAAGCAGCCTCCCTCCCAAGTTTAATGGGAGGGGAAGCATCACAGCTTTTATGAGCACACACGGAACCTCGCACCCAGCATATGAGTAGGAGCCCCTCGTCTGCCACCCCTAACCTTCCTCGATGTGTCTGAGGCCGGCTCCCTGGGCTGCCTGTCCTGCTCCCTGATGGGACATTCTTGCAGTGACCGAGGCCTGGTGTGGACGTCAAGCCTGCCTCCTTCTCCCCACTGGATCTTTCTGTCCTGAACTGAGGCTCTTTTCCCCAGGAAGTGATGCATGCCTTGAGGCAGACGTGGCATACCACCTGCTTCGTCTGTGCAGCCTGCAAGAAGCCCTTCGGGAACAGCCTCTTCCACATGGAAGATGGGGAGCCCTACTGTGAGAAAGGTAGGACCTCTGTGCTATGCGGAGACCCCACAATCTGGAAGAAAGGGGTTAGGAGTTCCCTTTCACAGACATTCAGTCTCTGCTACCTTCCCTGCACCAAATATGTGGACCCCAAGTTGGCATCTTGTGACCGTTTAGAAAACCTTTCAGATGATTTTGAACTGGAGACCATGAGGCCTAGTCTGAAAAGGCTTTGGCTCTGACCTCTGTTCCAGGTTCCACCTCAGGCTGGTTTTGTAAACCTGAATGAGTTACTAAAATTCTCTGAGCCTCACTTTCCCCATCTGCAAAAGGGGAAGATCAACACCTGCCTCATAGAGCTGTGGTGAGGATTAAACTCAGAGAAAGTATGAAATTCGTGAAGTAACAAGTATGTGCAAGTCCCCTCCCAGCTCCTGTGATGTTTACCAGACTTGGATGTTCCTTCAGGGTCCTGCCATCTGCTGTCTGAATTCAGAGTTTCTCTAATCCCCCAAAATACTATATGTTATCTTAAAACTTGGAGTCAGTTATGGTAAATTCTGAAAACAAAGCATTCTGTTAGAGTTGGGCATCCTGGTTAACTAGCCATTTACTCACTCACTGACACTTACACACTCATTTATTCATAGCCTGTCTCAGGTAAGGATTTGAGGCAGGTTCCAACAAAGGTAACATAAACATGAAAGTTAAGACAATAGAACTTTAGCAGATCAGCACCAAGCAGAAGAGGGAAAAGGAAACATGCTGATTATGACGAATGACAGAGCTGCAGTGACTGGGTAGCAAATTTGAGGGAAAAAAAAAAAACCACCGTAAGTTAGTTTACTTTAAAACCAGAAAGGGGAAAACATTTCAGTTCCTCAAGGGGAAAAGTAAAACAAAATAAAACATTTTTCCTCCCCTTGACAATAAATTATAAAAGAAACTTCTTGGTTTCTGAGGTATTGGTGAATTCCAGTAAGTTTCATTGGATGACTTTAAATGTCTCTCAGTCATTCTGGCCTCAGTTTCTGTATCAGTGAAAGGAAGAAGGTCGCACCTGTCTTTTCCCTTCTTACAAGGAAATGATGATGGTTGATAATTAGTAAAAGTGCTGTGATACCAGGACTTCCCTGGTGGCCCAGTGATTAAGATTCTGTGCTTCCACTGCGGGGAACACGGGTTCAATCCCTGGTCTGGGAACTAAGGTCCCACATGCCGTGGGGTTGTCCAAAAAAAATGCTGTGGGACCAATACAAATTGCTATTATTAGTCAGCTAAAAGCATTATAACTTTCATAATGTATGATCAGCCACAATTTGTATCTGAGGCTTGTGAGAGAATAATAGATCTATACTCTTCCCACTGCTTTTCTAGCAATCCCCCCAAAAAGATTTTCAAAGATAATATTTTGAGTAAAAAGGGTCTTAAGGTGTTAAGAAAATGCTGCAAGGAAGCAGATTTAGTCTCACCCCCAGGCACCCCAGAGACCCTGACCGAAGTCCCTCAGGGCACACTTCCAGGCAGTGCGATGGCGGACAAGACGCGCACCCTTTCTGAGCCCGTCCCTCCCCGCCTAACTCTCAGAGGCTGTTGTGAGGATTAACTGAGATAGTGGGTACACAGGTCTCGATGGAACACCTGCCCGTGGTGAATGGGCAATAGGCATCCTCCCTCTAATGGTTTTGGAGACCCACAACTCTCCAAGGAGCACAGTTTGAAACCAGGCCCTTAAGAAGTGGGAGTCACTGAGAGGTTTTAAAGTAAAGAAGTGACACAATCTGATTTTTATTCTAGCAAGAGCTTTAGAAATTTAGTATGCTTGTTGAATGTGACAGTGACACTCTTAATGAACAAAGTAATGAAAGGAGAGCTAGATGACCCAATAGTGCAGTAAATCAAGCCTGGTTGGTTAACCTGCCCTTGAGATAAAATATCAGAGTCAGCCTTGAGGAAGGTCCCCAATATAATACCACGGGATACTGTGTTTGGTTCTGACCTTGTCATTTTTTTATTATTATAGGGAAATATGAGGCAACTTCCCTGGTGTCCAGTGGTTAAGACTCTGCACTTCTTATGCAGAGGGCAGAGGTTCCACCCCTAGCTGGGGAACTAAGATCCTACATGCCACATTGGCTGTGAGGCCAATAAATAGATAATTAATTAACAATATATTAGAGTCAGAACTGTGATATCAAATTCTAGAACAAAGTGGCAGTTCTCCAGATAGTACCAAGATAAGTTTAAAACAAAACAAAGCAAAATTAATCAGAATTTATTCCAGAAATAAATTCAAGCCCTTGCAAGAGCTTGTGCTGTGCTGGGCTTAGTCACTCAGTCGTGTCCAACTCTTTGCAACCCCATGGACTGTAGCCCACCAGGCTCCTCTGTCCGTGGGGATTCTCCAGGCAAGAATACTGAAGTGGGTTGCCATTTCTTTCTCCAGGGAATTTTCCAACCCAGGTTGGAAATCAGATCCAACCAGGGATCAAACCCGGGTCTCCCTCATTGCAGGCAGATTCTTTACCGCCTGAGCCACCAGGGAAGCAAGAGCTTAATCTGTGGGGGAAAAACCAGGCTGCACAACAGAAGGAACCAAATTTAACAAGGTTGTTTGAAACATATCTTTGTCCGTGCATCATTTAACCATCAAATGTGTGCCAGTCGCTATGAAGGGCCCTAAGCACAGAGAAGAGGGTCGCTGCCCTGAAATACCTCAAGCAGACCCATCAACGTCCGATATGCTGGCACGTAAATGGACAGTTAAGAGATAATGAATAGACGGGTGAATGACGAATGAATGGGGAGGGAGAGAAGTCCGGGAGAAGCCCTCAGGAAGGCTGTCTCATCTCCCTTGGGTGGGAGGGGAATGAGGTCTTCCTAGAAGGAAGGCTGCCAGAAGGATTGCAGAAATTCAGGTAGACAAAGTGGGGAGGGATTCCTGAGCACAGGACCCGGTTCATAAAGAGGCACAAAGATGGAGGAAAGAATCCAGGGCATCTGGAGACCAACTGGGCAGAATGAAAGAGAACTCACAAGTGGGGTGCAGGGCTTGCTCTCAAGTGGAGGTGGGTTGGCCTGTAGTCCTGCTTCTCATCACACACTAGTAAGTTCCTGCAGAGCAGAGTGAACCATAAACTTGCCATAACTCTCTTAAGGAAGCAGAATGATGTTTTCCTACCTTGGTGAGGCAATCGAATTTTGCCTACTAAAGAAATTAAGTATTCTGTCAGAAACAAGGTTGATGGCTTGTGATGTATGTAAGAGTATTTACATGACAAAGTACAATAAACCCCAAAGAGGAAACCATACATTGGAAAAAATATGCAAGAGATATAGCTTATCAAAGCTCCATGGCAAATGGATAACTGGAAGCAGCGTGAAGTCAGGGAGAAGGGATGACCTTTGGAGTCCAGCAGGCTGCTGACCACTTGCGTGATGGAACTGCTACAGCCAGGTTCATCGTCTTTAAAATGAAAATAATAGTTCATTGCAGAGCTACTGTGAAGATTAAACAGGAAACATAAAAAAGCACTCGTACTAGCACATAGTAGGTACTCAAATTATGTTCCCTTCCCTCCTTTCATCATCTTAAACGCATTCAAAATAAGAGCCAACATTTTTGGTGCCTAGTAGTTCACATACTTTATTATATTTAATCTGTAGTTATTCACATTATACAGATGAAAAAGTTGAGACACTAAGAAGTTAGGTGACTTGCCCCAGATTTGAACAATTCTTTTATAGAGGTGGGATTTGAGCCCAGGTCTGTCTTTCTTCAGAATCCAAGTTCAAAGCCCCCACTACATGCTGACTCTCTGTAGTGGTCTAAGACAGTGATCAGGTACACTTTCCACAAGGAGATCAGAGCAGAAAATCGCTATGAGAAAAAGCCAACTGTGGCAGAGCTGGAAAGACAAGTCTACTTCCAGGGGGACTTTGTAAAAGGCATCAAGGTTTTCTAGAAGAATCTGGAAGAGTTCTACTGTGAGTGCAGTGGGACTGCTGCTCGTGACCCAGCCAGGACAGCCTGTGGCTGAGAAGCTCGGGACCTGGCCTGCTGTCACCCATGTGGCTCTGGCTACAGCCTTTACCTTCTTGAGCCTCAGTTTCCTCACCCAAAAAAATGAAACAAAAGTAGTCTTGCAAAGATTAAGTTCATTCATTGATTTATCTTTTTTTCCCCAAATCATTGATTTACTGATTCATTCATTCACTCATTCATTTGACATACATGTGTTGGGTACCAACTTGTGTGCCAGGCATTGTGCTGGGAGTACAAAGAAAACTAATACATGGACCTTGACGTTGAGATACTAGCAAATAAGACCATCTATGTGAGGATTCCTGGTAAACTGTAAAGCATTACATGAATAATATTTGGTATTATTATCCTCTTGCCTGGGGGAGGGGAATTACTTCTGACAAAGTAATTCAAATACTGTTTCTTGTAGTGAAAATTTATTATCAACACAGATACCTCATGACAGAAGAATAACCAAGCAAAGAACATTCCCTAACTCTAAAAAAATGTTAAAGGCTCTCATTTCTCCAAAATAAGCATAGTTGCTGGGAAATAGGATTGCTTTTTCTTTTGGGGGATTGGGCTCTTTGGGTCATAAGAGGTGACAGAGGCAGAGGAGAAAATCACCCTGCAGAAAGTTAATGGCAGTTCCAGAAAGTGTTTGCAAATCAAACCAGCACAGGGTGGTGACTAGCCTGAATCTGCATAACCCCGGTGCAAATTATTGGAAAAGGTAAAAACCAGTCATGTAACTGAGAATTTTGTGTGCAAGATGACAAGTAACCAATTAGGTTTCATCACTGCCTCAAGCTCAGTGATCTGAGGGGTTGTTCTGGTACTGGGTCGGTACTGGTCCTTACTCTGCCTTTCATTTCAGACTACGTCAATCTGTTCAGCACCAAGTGTCATGGCTGCGATTTCCCTGTGGAGGCTGGTGACAAGTTTATCGAAGCCCTGGGGCATACCTGGCATGACACCTGCTTCATTTGCGCAGTATGTTTTTAGCCTGGTGTTATGACTTTTTGAGAAGGGATTGGAGGGACCAGCTGGGGCCAGGTGACAAACCCTCCACATAGCTTTCAACTGTTATTCTAATATTCTATCTTCTTTAAAAGCTGGCAAATACCATGATGCCTTGAGAGGTCACAGTTGAGCCAAGCTTTATTACTAGTAATGATTTATAAACCAACATGGCTTTGTTACTCTCCATTTCATTAAGGACAGAGGAGTGTCTCAGGATGTGGCAAATCAGTAGCTTGCCTCACCAGCAGTGCTCTCAATAAGTGTGAGGATCGAATGATGTTTGGATTTAATAGAGGCAGATGACTTCTCATTGTTACAAGTTGTTTAAGATACGATGACGTGATTCAAGCGTTTTCCCCCAAATGTTCACCATGAACATTAGATCAGAGCTTATTGATTAATCCTATGAAAAGCTGAGATAAGATTTCTTTTGATTGAATCTTTAGAAAGCAGGACTAAATATAATTTCATTTTCCTACATGGTCCTGTTCTTGATATGCAGTTGCCAGGAGATAAGTTCTAGATTAAGTATTAACCACATGCAGTTTATTTCTGCTGAAAAGCCAGGTCATTTTTACCATGAGACTGACATTTTCTTTACAAGGGCTTTGGTTTAGGGAAGGGATATGACAATGAACATGCAACACTTAGACGCCACATTAGAGTTAGAAAATAGTTATCCCTGATAAAACTCCATAATATGAGCTTGTAATTGACTCAACTTTATTTGGGAAAGTTAATGTGCTACTAGGGCTATTTTTTTTTTTTTTACTAGAGCTGCTCAAGATAAATTTTAGGAATATGTGAAAGATCTATATAGTTTAAACTTGAATACTTTTTATAGACTTATGACATAGAGCAACCCTAGTCATAAAGTTCACTGCAATTCACTTTAACTTTTATACTTCATGTCTATATCCCCTCCCATTTGTGGGGTGCATTGTATTCACTCTGTATATTAGTTTGCTAAGGCTACCATAACAAAGTACCACAATATGAACAGCTTAAACAACAGAAATTCTTACTCTCTCCCAGTTCTAAGGGCTGGAAGCCCAAATCCAAGGTGTCAGCAGGGCCCTACTTTCTTAAGCTCCTGGTGCTTAGGAGCAGTGCGTGGAGTTTCTTGAGTTGTAGTTGTGTCGCTCCAATCTCGACCTCCATTGCCACATGGTTGCCTTCCCTCTGTGTGTCTGTGTCTTCACATGACATTCCCCTCTGTACAGGTGTCTGTCTCTATGTCCTCATCTCCTCTTCTTATAATGAACTGGTCCTATCGGATGAAGGGCCCAACTTACTCCATATGACATCATCTTAACCTCTACCTTAATTAAATCTGAAAAGACCCTATTTCCATATAAAGTCACTGCTTTCCCTGTTCTGAGTAGGCTGGAGGTACTCAGGGTTGGGACTTGAACGTGTGAATTTAGTGGTGGGGGTACAATTCAGTCCATAGCACAGATTTTCCAACCCTTTGAACACCTCTAATCACCCTTTTGGGTCCTATAATTACATCAGGACCTCCCCTCCAAAAAGGGACAACAGTATAAATATACTGGCTTTGGGGTTGTCCCCTGCAGAGCCACAGCTCAGCAAGCAGAGTACAGGGCTCTCTTACCTTAAACCTTCAAGCCATAGCTTGTCTAATCCTAAGATGCTGCCTGTAAATCTGGTTACCCAACTTCCAGAAAGATCTAAGAGACTTGGAAGAGGTTCAGGGAAGACAGTGGCGCAGAAGGCTTGTTCTTTAAGGGCAGGCTGATGAGCAGTCTGTCATGTGCAGAGGAAATCACACAAAGGTGAGCGTGGGTCTGCTCCCTTGAGCCTTCTGTGTTTGTCTGAGAATCATGATGTGGTGCAAGTCCCAGAGAGAGACCAGAAGATGCAGTAAAGCTTGGGGTTGCTCAGTCTGAGATTACAAATAAGTTCCAGTCTGGTATGAAAGATCCACAGCACTGCCCATAGGATCTGCTCAAAGAAACCAGGCCACTCCCATCCTCTGGAGAATTATCACAGAGAACCATTATGCCTTCCCCCAAACTAGCCCAGTGTAGCACTCAATGCCCCATGAACCTGTCTATATCTAAGTGGAACATGGTTTTAATTTTTGGAAAGCAATATTTTGATTGGAAAACTTTCAGGGATTTTTTGGTCCTCTTTCCATCACTTTGTATTTCCAAATCACTTTTTTTTCCCCAAATTACTTCCCCCCCCAAATCACTTTTAATGAGCATATATTTTCCTGTGACTTGAAAAAGAATTAGTAAGAAAGGAAGATCAGGACTTGCTCTCCTATGTGACATGGGCTTAGTGAGCTACCCTGATACAAGTCTGTAAACCCAGAACAATTTCAAGTAAACATAATCCCTCTCTGCTGTGAGGTATGGGGAAAATGAGCTTAGAATTGGAGTCTTGCAGACCTGAATATGGATTCCTAGGTTCTACAACTTAACTAGGTCTGTGACTTGAGCAAGATACTTGGCCTTTCTGAGCCTTAACTTTCAATTGTGAAATAGAGAAGAGTCATACCTATCCCATAAAGTTTTGTGATAATTAAATGAGATCATGTATACAGAGTGTCTGGTATCATATTTGATCACAATGACAAATATTACAGATCTCCTTCCTTTCTGCTTTGTTTCCATCTTTAAGCTCCACTCATATGTTGTCATCAAGGGGGTATATAATTTTGCCTTTTTTTTTTCATGTACTATTTTCCTTCATATACTTTGCCATATTTGATTTACATTTCATGGTGGCATTTCATTGGGAAAATGTACCATAAAAATTAACTTAATCATCATCCCCTTGAGAGAAATGTTAGTGGCTACCTGGTTTGTAGTTGAGCATATGTTGCTTTCTTGTTCTGTGCAATAGTTGCTGCAAGATGAAATTACCCAGAGTGGTGTTACGGGGTACAGGGCAGCCACCTCTTTGTGGCTTCTCTTCAGTGATGCCACATCCCCTGCCAAAGGCTGGGCTGATTCACATGTCCCTAAACAGTGACAAGTAGGCCTGATCTCTTTTGATACTGTTGACTTTCAACTGATCACTTTTTTTTCACTTTCTGGCTTTAGTCACATGAGGCTAAAGGTGACGAGCTTTTGAGGCTTTTTGTTTTGTTTATTTTGCTAGATTAACAGGTATCTCATAGAGGTTTTAATTTATTTTTCTTTTAATTCCAAGTGAGGATCATTTTTCTGGCATTTTATATTTCTTTAAATATTAATCACCTCTGTGGATAACATCAGTTGATCATCTTAATTATTGTTGTTCAGTCACTAAGTTGTGTCCAACTCTTTGCAGGCCCATGGACTGCAGCACGCCAGGCTTCCCTGTCCTTCACTGTCTCCCAGAGTTTACTCAGACTCATGTCCATTGAGTTGGTGATGCCATCCAACCATCTCATCCTCGGTTGCCCGCTTCTTCTCCTGCCCTGAATCTTTCCCAGCATCAGGGTCTTTTCCAGTGAGTCAGCACTTGGCATCAAATGATCAAAGTGTTGGAGCCTCAGCTTCAACATCAGTCCTTCCAATGGATATTCAGGGTTTATTTCCTTTAGGATTGACTGGTTTGATCTCCTTTGGTTGCCTCAGATGGTAAAGAATCTCCCTGCAATGCAGGATACCTGGGTTCAATCCCCGGGTTGGAAAGATCACCTGGAGAAGGGAGTGGCTACCCACTCTAGTATTCTTGCCTAGAGAATCCCATGGACAGAGTCATCTGGTGGGCTACAGTCCACGGAGTCGCAAAGAGTGGGACACAACTATGCGACTAAGCAAACACACACAACATTGATCACCTTTATTGTGAATATATTCTGTATGCCATTAATTTAATTTAATTTAACTTGAGTTTATTCCACATTCTTCTTTGGAAGTCTTTACTTTAATAATAGTTCAACCCATCTATACCGCTTTGGGCTTCCCTGATATCTCAGTTGGTAAAGAATCTGCCTGCATTGCAGGAGACCCCGGTTCAATTCCTAGGTTGGGAAGAGCTGCTGGAGAAGGGGTAGGCTACTCACCCCTGTATTCTTGGGCTTCCTTTATGTCTCAGCTGGTAAACAATCCACCTGCAATGCGGGAGACCTGGATTCCATCCCTGGGTTGGGAAGATCTCCTGGAGAAGGGGAAGGCTATCCACTCCAGTATTCTGGCCTGGGGAATTCCATGGACTGTATAGTCAATGGGGTTACAAACAGTCAGACATAACTGGGTGTAAATGCTGTGCATATACTGCTTTAGTTGTAAAGCATTTGTCATGAGGAGAAGCTGACTGTTGCCTTTTCTCCCATCTGTCTGTGACAGTGCTTTGTCTTAAAAGGACGGCTGAAATCCTTTGCTCATGTCCCCCTCTCTCCTGGGGAAATGAGCATGCCTCTCATGCCTATCTGTTTTCTGTCTCAGGTCTGCCACGTGAATCTTGAGGGGCAGCCATTCTACTCCAAGAAAGACAAACCCCTGTGCAAGAAGCACGCACACGCCATCAACGTGTAGGGGACCCAGGGCGTCTGATATGGACGGGCAGGGAGCTGCTCCTGCTGCTGGCAACCAACCATTGAAGGAGGCTGATGTTTCTTTTTTGGGGGGAAAGGGAGAAGACAGGAAGCGACTGAGCCCTTTTGAAGTATAATTTTAGTCCTTTCTTCTGCACACAGATTGTGTATTTGCATAGTTCAGACTAGAAGCCAAATGAAGATTCCTGAACCAAGCTAGTAATTAATCCAAGACTGGAATTGTACTTCAAACGTTGAAGACAGAATTCCAAGAACTCAAAAGTGAAAAAGAAAAAGTCATTTTCCCAAAGCGATACACTTCCCTGAGGTCACCAGAGCAGGGACAGAGCTCAGAGCAGTTATGGAGAATCTGAAGCTTTCTGTGGAGTTCTTTAGAGCTCCTCTGACAAACAAAATGAAGTGCCAAACAGTTCTCACTGCAGGGTATTTTTAGAGCCATGGCTGAGAGCTTGTTAGCTAAGACCGATTGGGCCTTCCTCACCAAAAAAGGAAGTGTTATTCCATTCCTCGCGTCATGGAGCTACCTCGGCGCATCAGACTTCAGACCTTGCACGGGCTTGAACATTCTCACGGGAGCCCAGACATTAGAGGGATGTCTTCTGGAAGCCTCTGGGCAATCGACAGGGCTTCGGGAAAGGATCGGGCTCACGCTGCAGACAGCTGAGGGAAAGAAGGGCTCTTCTGCCACCCTCTTTTAGCCTGAAACAGTCAATGTCCCCAGAAAGCTTAGCTTCTTTTTGACTTGTGGTGGGCAAGTGGAATTGGGTTTTTTTCCAGTTTTGCTTTGCTGTGTGTGAGAGATTGCACAATAATTCTGGGCTGTGTTTGGCCCCTATTTGGCTTCATGAGGTTCATTAGCATGAATGTCTAGTCTTGTGCATGTATTTCACTCCCAATCCTATGAGTGCTCACTGCTGAAGTCCTCTTCAACATCCCTTCCCTCAACAGGCTTAATGACCTGCAGAAAAGAAGAGAGACAGTGTTTGAAACAGGATGGCAGAACAGGCTGAGGACATGCCCTAACTCCGGGTGGGAAAGAGAAACCTTCCTTTCTGCCAGCCTCAGTAAGAACACATGAGCTGGCAGGACCTCCCACTTCAGAGCTGCTCCATCATTCTTGCGTCTTTCTTTAAATGCAGCATATTGATTGTATACAATTGTGTTGCCTGCTGGAAGGGAAAGATGGCCTGATATAGACACGTCTGCCATTTTGGCTAGTGTTTTGAAAAAAGTATGAGCTGAGTTGACCTAGCAATTGTTTAAGCATTTATTGAAATAGACTTGGATCTTCAAACTTCTTTAACGTATTAGTGATAGTTTGAGTTAAGTAAGCATTTTAAAGCTGTTTGGTGATAAAGAGAGAAGCTTAGTTTTTGAGGTTGGAAATGGTTATCGTCTCTTTCCCTTTTAGGAAGCGCTGTTATGCTCACTGAATGCGGCATCAAAGGAGGCGGTTTGAGTGGATGTTTCTCACTTGAGCACAATATTTAGGCCATCTTCCAGTCACCGCTACCCTCTCCTCACTCCTGTTTTGGATTTTCTCTTTGCACGTTTGAAATGTTTTATGAGAATGCATTAGACTACTTTTTCTTCTGAGAACTGAGGCTTCCAGGGGACTGCCTTTCTACCTGAGGGAGAAAGAAGCAGCTAGATATGTCTCTAACAGAAGGCCCGTGTTTTTTTTTTCCAAGAGTGAAGCCACTAACGTCCCCCAGGGAACACCAGGAGGGACGTAAATGTGCTCCTACCACAGGGCCCTTCTTTAGCTTTGGTGCAGGGAGAAAGTGAATATAAAGCACCAGGCAGAGTAACATCTGCAGGGAGTGCCTGGAGATTTTTCAGGAGTTGCAAGCAAGCATTCTGTTATTTTTGGAAAGTTCAAGTACACAGGGACAAGGAGGTTGCTGACTGTACAGAAAGGCTCTAGGCAGATTTTCTTAAAAAACAACAACAACAAAACTATTAAATTATCAGGGACTGGTGTCAAGGAAAGGGAATAAAGTTCCCTAGAGTTTTTCCCGAAAAATATCATTTAAAGATTTTACACATACACACACACAAGTGTGGCCATTAAAAAGCATATGATCATTAAAAAGAAAAGTGAAATCTCAAAGGTGAGCTTCATCATAGTCATTTATTGAAGCAGTTTTTCTACATTTCACAGCTAGTGTATATTCTGAGGGACTCTTATTTACCAAAACCCAAAATCAACAACAAAAACATTTTAAAGGTAGCAGGAAAAGGAGGTGATTTTTAATACGGTTCCCTCAGTGTTTTTAAGTTTGGCATAGTGTTGGGTTAAGGTTGTAGCTACTTCAGATTAACATCATGGATCTCCTACAACACCAAACACAAGTTTTAATAGTTCACGGTGAGGAGTACACTTTGGATCTACAGTTCTTGTCTCCTCATTGTTGACATTTATTTAACATTTATAAACATTAACTTTTTGCAACTGAGTGACTTATGTCTGCAGTGTTTGTGTTAGGAATCTAGCTTTTATAATGTTAACTTTTCAACCCAAGTGCTCTTGCTTTGGGATTTTTAATTTTAATATTTCAGAAGTGGAATATAGTGTGGTAAAAGTGTGCACAAAAATGTTTTGCATGGTTTTTTGTTTTTGGCCTGTGTGAATTCTTTTTAGCAAAATAAAACCCCAAACGGATGTGCAAATACAGATTTTTCTGTGTAAAGTTTTTTCATGTGATAACCAAAAGTAGATTACTTCTCTATGACTGCAAATATAAGTTTGAGAGAAAACAAAATGCCCTAAGGAGAAAAAACAAATAACTCACTTACTCTTTTGACTGTGTGGTCCAACAGCAGTTTGAACAAGAAGGACACATGAATAATACAGATGTTTTGCATACAAAGTGAATTTACCAGTAAACAGTAACCTAAAGACCAGGTTTGGCCTTTTCCTTTTGGAAAGATTTATTTATTTAGCTATTTCATATTTATTTCTTTTTATTCTGTTCTAAATAACTTCATTTCTAGAAAAGTATATTTTCTTCCATGCCTTTTGTCTTAAAATAAGCTCAGAGTAACATCCCCTCATGGCATTTTTTTGAAGAATCATGAAGGCCCCTCTGAGGGGCCTTTAGCGTGACCAATTCATTCTTTTCTGAGATGTTCTGTTTCTAGGCATTACTTTAAAAGAAAAAGATATCTTTTATAACTTATTTGACTTTTAATACCTGAATCAGATTTTCAAATAGCTGTACAGTTACAAGTAGAAATAAAATCTTATTTTAGTACTTTTTAAAGCTTTAGCAATTTTTCAAATAGATGATGGAGAAAAAAAGATTCATAGGCATAGAATTTAAAGTTGGAAAGAATCCAAGAGATCACCTGGATATTTTCTAGATGTAAGAACTGAGTCTTGGAAAGGGGAAGTGGCTTCCCAGCATGTACACAACCAGCTAGGGAGGCAGCCAGGTGCCGTGAAATAAACATGGACTTTGGTATTGTAAGACCAGTGTTTAGATCAAGGCTGATCTAATACCACAAGTGTGGTATCCGAAGACTCTCTCTAAGCCTGCCTATCTACCTGAAAATGAAGCTATTAATATAACACCTGCATTTTATTTCAAGAGCCAAATACAGTAACTTTGGGAAGAAAATTTCAATGCAAATGTTAGTTATTATTATCAGCAGTAGAGTGGGGTCAGAACTCCTCGCTTCTGCATCATTTTGTATTTTTTATTATTTTTTTGCATCATTTTTTAAACTCCTTCAATTTGTTCATCCAGAAAAAATACAATGGGAAAGCCAGCAGTAAGAATAAATATTACACAAATATCCCAGAAGTATGAACCATGTGAATCAGAATTTGGTAGTATTACCTGATACCAGAATTTCTTCCCTCTTCACTGAGGAATTGTGGACCAAATAAAAATTGCTTGTTCTACACCTCACAAAATCAGCATTACCCTGATACCAAAACTAGACAAAGACACCACAGAAAAGCAAAATTGTAGGCAATATTTTTGATGAACACAGATGCAAAAATCCTTAGAAAAAAATCAGCAAACCAAATCCAACAACATAAAAGGATCATACGCCGCAATCAAGTGGGATTTATTCAAGGGATACAGAGATGGTTCAACATCTGCAAATCAATCAGCATGATACATCCTTGATAAAATGAAGGCTAAAAATCATACAATCATCTGAACAGATGCAGAGAAAGCATTTTCCAAAATTCAGTACTCATTTGTAAGAAAAATTCTCAACAAATCAGGTATACAGGAATATTCCTCAGCATAATAAAGGCCATATCTGGTAAATTGTATGTCTCATAAGGGAATATCCAGAATGCATACAGAACTCATACAACTCAACAACAAGAAGCCAGACAACCTGATTAAAGAATGGGCAGAGGATCTGAATAGTTATTTTTGCAAAGAAGACATTTAAATGGCCAACAGACACATGAAAAGTTATGCATCACTAATTATTAGGAAAATAAAATTCAAAGCTACAGTGAGATAGCATCTCATACCTGTGAGAATGGCTTTTATGGAAAAGACAAGAAATAATAAATGCTGGTGAGGATGTGGAGAAAAGGAAACACTTATACGCTGCTGGTGGTACTATAAATTGGTATAGCCACGGTGGAGAACAATATTCCTCCAAAAATTAAAAATAGAACCACCATATGAGCCAGCTATTCTACTTCTGAGTATGTATCCAAAGAACACAGAAACCCTGATTTGAAAGATACATGCACTCCTATGTTTGTAGCAGCATTATTTTTGTTTTCATTACTGCAGCTTTTTAAAAAAATTTGTGTTGATGTATAGGTGATTTACAATGTTGTGTTAGTTTCTGATGTACAGCAACGTGACTCAGTGATCACTTACACACTTAAAGCTGTTGACAACTTGGGCAGTATATCTTTTTTAACAGTCTTTATTTTTAGAACAGTTTTAAGTGAAAGTGAAAGTTGCTTAGTCGTGTCCGACTCTTTGCAACCCC